TTTTATTTATATTTTATTTAAATAAAAAAATTAATCATTTTGTCTAAGTAACAAATTTTGTTTTTTAAGATAATATATTTTTTAATTATAAATTAATGTACAAAAAAACATTATAATCACTTAATGTTATTAAAGGTAAAAAAATAAAATTGAAATTTATTAGATAATTATTAATTAAAAAATATGACCACAAATTTAAAAAATTAAAATGGATAAATTTGTTCATAAAATTAAAAAATTTTAATTTATTAGCAGTTTGATATAAAAAATTACATAAACTAATTTTTTCAATCTGATAGTAGTTAAATTAGCAGTTTAAACCTTAATTGTTATTCACTAGTCTTAAACCGTTAAATAAAAATTTTACCAAATATTTTATTTGTAACAGTTTCAAAATATATAAATTTACCAAACACCTATATTTAATAATTTAGTTAAAACCACTAACTGCTACGTCAAAACCGTTATACCAAAATATAATTTGTCTACCAAGTAAGTACTCTAAACCTTCTCGAGGGGGGGAAATAAAATTTTGCCTGCTTCTTTTTATCTTCTTTCTTATCAAGATTTTAGATTCACTTATAGAGGAACATAATTCTAATTTTAATTTTAATTCTAATCATATAATATACGAGACTCTAGTCAAACTTATATTATATATCAGTCATCATGTGATTTAATTAAACATTCAATTTTTTTATATCCTCTTAATTTTATTTGTTGTAAATAAATTACTCTTTTTGTTTATTTTTAAATACATTTAAGTTGATCTTTTGACTTTTAAAATATAAATTGTAAATGAAGATTTAATAATATATATGAACAAAATTTAAAAATTTTATTGTCCCTATGTATAGTTATTGTTAAATACTTTTATTTAATAAAAAAAATTTTGATTGTTGTTCATAAAAATTTTAAAAATTTTATCTAAAATTTATATTTTAAAAACTAAAAAATTCAAATTAAATTTAATAAAAATTAACAGAGCCAGTACAATATTGTCATAACTTCTTTTTGATGGTTCCCTTTTAACTCACCAGTGTTTTCCTTCCAGCTTCACTAGAATTAATTTTTGCGTAAATACAAAATTGGCCATCAGTAAAATAGTAAATACCCTAATTATTTTATGTTCCTTTTATCATCATAACATTATTGATGCTGGTAAATACAGTACCGTATTTAAGAACACACAATAAAATGCCCCTCCTAATT